TTGTTTCCCCCATTGAAAACTTGTGGTTATTTATGTATGTTTCTCTTTGATAAAGTATGACTACAAGGTTGTTGAGTAAGGGAAATTTCAATTTTAAGTAGTATATTTGTTGGAAGTGGACTATTGTTCATATCTCTTACTTCATGCTAACAATTCTTGTTTTCATTCTTTTTATAATTTTCATTTGTGATGCTTCCTATTGTGTTAAATTGTATTGATTGTAGTGTGAAACCTTTTCTTATGTGTGTAGAAAAGAACTTTAGAGCGCAACTAATTATTATACTACTTCTCTTATTTTCTTCAAATTTAGTTTGAATTAGACTAAAAAAAGAATTCCTTACAAAATTTATCTCTAAAATAAGGATTGTTTCACACAGTTATGAATTAGGGATTCTAACGGGAGTACTGACAATGACAACTACACGATGGAGATTAATTTATTATCAAGCACAACACTCAATCTCACTAGCTTCCAACTCCACAATATAGATTTGGTCAAATTATTGCTAAATCTAACCATGTTAGATCTCATTGTCAACTAACTATAATCTAACACAATACCCACGAGCAGGTGGATGAGTTGGCTTAGACTCTTCCAGTTTAACTAGATATCTTGATTTCAAGTTCTGAGAATGCAATTCCGTTAAAACTTGTGAAGGGGAGTTTTGCCATCTGTTGGGTCCTGTTCGACTTGAATATGAATTAATTGGTGGTCTAATTGGCTTTCGAGTACTGGATGGTCCATAACAAAAAAAAAAAAGAAAAAATAATATGACACTGTGAATTGAATTCACAAAATCTAACAATTAACGGTTAGCCTAAGGGTTAATTTGCACGAATCAGGTTTATTTAAGGTCTTATAGTTTTTTTGTTTAGGGGCTGATGTGCTAAAATGGTATAAGTTTAGGGTTTTAGCAATGGGTTTTGCCTTTTTAACTAGGCATGACCCTATACAAAGCAGAGGACTCTGCTCTCAGAAAATTTTTTTTGAGGAACTGCTCTCAGAAATTTGGGACCCCAATTTCAATCATTCATGTGGAAAACATCCAGTCTAATAATAACTTTATTTCAAAGTTTTTCACTCTCTTGGCCGAAATCTCTCTCTCTCTCTCTCTCTCTCTCTCTCTCTTTACCATTTACATGTAGAAATAAAATTAAACGGTAAAAAGTAAAAATAGGATAAAATGTTAAGATTGTTTGTTAAATTTTTTTAAAATATTTTTATAATATATTTGGGTTAAAGTGAATGAAGGGAGGAGAGGGGGAAGTTTTTTCAATTAATTAAATTATAATATTTTTTAAAATATTATAATTTAATTAATTGAAAAACTTTTTTTTTTTTCATTTTCCTCAACTCAAATATAAGATTAATCAATTTTTTAAATATTAATTTATGAAAAATATTTTAAAGTTTTCATTATTACTTTAAATATTTTAGATATTGATTTATCGTAATCCCAATGAAATAATCATAACATAGCAAATAACTCAAATAGATCTTCCACAGCTTGATCACTAGCTATCTATCTACGATTTAACCCAAAAAAAAAAAAAAAAAGCTGTCCACCAACGAGTACATTTTTCAATAGTTCTTGTTGGGGTTAATACATTTAAATAGTTAAACTAAAAATATTTGAAGTATGCTGTATAAATTTTACAAAAAAAATTAACAGCTGTTGTAGTCAACCACAATAATATAAGTAAGGTGGTATCATGAGTTATTTTTAATGTATCTTACTAAATTCATCTCTCAGTCGAAGTCAAGAGTATCCCAAACATAGTTGTTCACACAAGAAATGTAAGAGGGTTTTTTAAGGCTGAAGATATTGGGCAGTTTGATTTTCTTCAAACATGAGGAAAGTATGGTTGGAATTCTGGCCTGGGATTTTCTTTTTGAAAATGGGTGTGACCTAGGATTTAGATTTTAATCTTATTAAATCTAAGTTAGGCAGGTGCCCCTTCATTTGTTTCCATTTATGAAGCCATTGAATCCACATGGTGAATATTTATTGACTTTGGCTTCAATGTCATGCCTTGGCTTTACTAGTAATAGTAAATCCCCTCACCATCTCACCAAATCAAAAAGAAAAAAAAATGAAACCTAGATCAACACAATTGCAGTAATTTCGTTTTAAGTTGGGTTTAATGGTCCCCGATGCTGCACGTATTTTTAACTGATATATTTTATTTTATAGTATATGAATTATAATTTGTAATTTTTTATCTTAATATGTAATTCATTTATTATAAAAAAAGCATCACGTAAAAATATGTGGTGATAAGTAAAATATTTCATCAATAAAATCTAAAAAATTAAGATATCCTGACATCAAGATTCTTATCATAACCATCTGTTAAGTGAGTCTCAATCAAAGACCAACTTAACGATGGCTATGATAGATGTTTTGATGTCAGGATGTCAAGATTTTCATTTTTTCGCTTTAGCAATAGTATGTTTTTGTTGTAAATTTTTGATCATTTTAAGATTTAAGACATAATGAGTACAATTTAAATATTTTTAAATTAATAAAAATTGACATTTATTTAATCAATTGTTCAATTAAAAAGATTGATATAACAATGATTATGAAATTAATGTCAATTTTTATATTTTTAAATATTAATCAATTTCAAAATGTGTATTAATTATATCTTATAACACAAATTAAAAAAAACCTAAGTTTGTAAGAGGAGGGAGAGAAAGGAAATCCTTTTCTTAAATTATGAAAGTGGGAGGAATTGATTTCTTACCATTAACCAAGAAGTGGCTTGCCTTCATAAAGGAAAAATTAAATTTGTAGTACTATTAACTATGAAGAATTGGTCATTTAATTAATTCAATAAATGGAATCCTGCTTTCGGTTAAGGGTGTCAAGAGGGGCTATTATGAGAGCCACCAAAGGAGCAAACTGAGTTGAAGGTTGAGCTCTGGAGCTTATTCATTATTCTCCTTAAATTCAAGTCTGCTGACACTGGTCTGTAGTAAGTATATATTTATGCCATCCGTTTACGCCATGATGATGTGCAGCCATTTCTGTAACCTCTTTCTTTTAAAACTTCAAATTTACCACTATACTTCTTTGGCATGTTAAACATGCACCCTCTACTTTTGTTTTAATTCAATGTGCTCCTTATTGCCAGTTTAGTTTAGTTATTCTATTAACCCAAATTAATAATACAAAAGCCTTGTGAAATTCTTTTTTTTTTTCTTGTTTTTGAAAAAAAGAGAAGATAAGTACAGTCTTTGGGGATGGGGAATCGAATTTTAGTCCTTAAGGCTAAGGGAGATAAAACTCTATCAAGTGGCCAAGGTTGGCCTTTTTAATACTTTTTCTTTCACATTATAATAGTTGTTTTGTTG